AGAGCCATTCACATGTTGTTTTTTACACAAGTTCTTAGTACTTAGCTAATAAGATGCTTAGATTTACATAAGACAAATACTATTTATTTATTTTTTGTTATTTTTATTTCTTTATTTATTCATTTATTTGTTTATTTGTTAATTTATTTATTCAGTGTTCTGTCATTTGCTTTCAGAGAATTGGACTATTGTTTGTTTTGTTTTTTTATTCAGTGCTGTATTATTTAGTTATTAAACAGCAATAAATAACACTTTAAATATGAGTTTTGATGTGATTTTTTAAACTAGTTGTTGTGTTTTACAATTTTTGAATGCATAATAATTGTCATAACCGTAAAACCGTGATTATTCCTCATAATATAATTGTACAACCAAAATCTATAATCATAGCATCCCTACTTGAGTAACTATTTTTTTTATAAGGTCAGTATCTGTACATTATATTTTCAACACTTTCTGAATAATCAGTTTTGCTTACATGAACAAGTATTTCGAGTTCTCTTCTATGACAGGAGCTGCTTATGTAATGCAAACATTTAAATATGTTAGTTTACAAATGAGGAGCTATGATAATTTTTTTTTTATATAGATCAAAGAACTTACATATATCATTTTTTGCAAAGAACTGCACATAATGTTTTTTAATCTATTATCCACCCTGTAATTATATTTTTTTTGTGAAAAGTAAAAAAGAAGTGTTCGTTTCAGCTTGATCGGTACATTTTGAGAGCTTCTGTTGTACTAAAATAGGTATAGCCATGTTTTCCAATGTACTTAGGCTAGCATTTCAATTATGTGCTCCATTTAGAATATGATTGACATTTTTTTCATGTTGTACATTATTTTCTTGTGCATTGCATTCAGGGACTGACCTTAGAATTTGAACACTGAAGCAATCTTAGAGGGCAGCTAAATAATACCCTTCCCTTCACGTCTTGAGCATATGATTCCTTAAAATCCTGCCTACATAGGCAGCATCAGGTTTTGTAACACAGCCAGAGACACTCACTTTCAAAAAGTGAAAAGTGAGAGCACTGATGAAGTGGTATGTAGACTATTTAAAGGTTGTGCACCGGGAGGTCTTCCACGGGGAGAGCACCAAAGATCTGATTACAGACACCACACATGCAGTATCGCATCCTGTGTGTGTGTCTCGCTTGCATATGTCGGCATATTCTGGGAAAATCCATTATGACTCATATATGCATTCCAGTAGATCTCCACTGGCTTATCAGCTTCCTGTAATGAACTGTCAGTAACATCACACTGCAGCAGCTCCAACGAAACAATTTACAGTAACTGTACCGCTGACTGAGCATGCATTCTGTTTCTCACAATACGTCGCAGGACCCATTCATATTCAAGAGTCATAAATCATATGGCAAATTAATTCAAAGTGTGGTGGAAGTGTACATTTTAAAGCTTCATTAGGAGCTAAATCCAAATGTTTCCAAACACAGGCACTATTATTGATTTCAGACTGGATATTGCTATTCCACATTTCATCTTTAAAGTAATGCTACTGTAATAAGAGAAGAAGGTCACAGGTGGTCCATACCGATGTCATAGGAGAGGAAGTCGGAGGAGAAACATTTGGCCCCGTTACTGAGCGAGGTGTCGTTATGAGTGTTTCCACCAAACACCAGCAGAACTCCACTGATCAGCACAGCGGAGTGGAGGTATCGTGCCAGACCACTTTCCTTCAGAATAAACCTGGGGAGAAGCAAACACACATCTCATTGGCTATTGTAATGCAGCGTGTGCGCGAGCGTTTAGCTTATGGGATGGAACAGTTGGTCTGAAGGTCACTCTCCACAGGCTAGGTCAGATACGCAGACGGACGCCATCAGTAATGTGGCACCACAGAGACTTTTATCCACATGAAGAAACCCATGCACTGTATGTATGAAGCACTCGTGCACACAAAATCCTCAACTTCTATTGTGTTACAAAAATAAGTCAGTCATATCACATTTATTTAAGTTTCACAAGCCGTAAAGTGATGTCAACTAAATCATTTTAATTCTGTACTTGAAAAAAAATCAGATGTTAATGTGACTAAACCTGTTCTCTTCTAGGTAAGTTAGGATTATCAAATTTGTTTCTGTTATGCTTAATAGCAGAATAATGAGAGAGAGATTGTTGTAACTTTTCTTGAAAGTCAAAAGTTTACTTACAAAAAGATTATTATAGCTCTGAAAAAGCTCAGATGATGGTGTCAAGGTTTTGGAAGTTTCTGATGGGCTAATTGACAGCATTTAAGTTAATTAGAGGCACAACTGTAGAACAGTATTTAAGAAAAAACTCAAAAACACTGCTTCCTTGTGTGACAACATGGGAAAATCAACAAGCCAGAATCAACAAAATAGCCAGATTACAATTCGCTAAATTACACTGGGAAAAGAACAATTTTTGGAGACGTGTCCTGTGGTCTGATGGAATTAAGGTTGAACTGTTTGGCCATAATGACAAGTGTTACATTTGGAGGACAAAGGGGAAAGCTTACAAGCCTAGGAACACCCTCCCAACTGTGAAGTATGAGGGCGGCAGCATCATGTCATGGGGCTGTTTTGCTGCAGGAGGGACTGGTCCACTTCACAGCATAGATGGCATCGTGAAGTAAAAACATTATGTAGAAATGCTGAAGCAACATCTCAAAAAAAAAAAAAAAAAGAAAAATCAGCCAGGAAATTAAAACTGGGCCACAAATGGGTCTACCAAACAGACCATGACCCTAAGCATACTGCCAAATTAGTTTAAATGTGCTTTAAGGACAACAGAGTGAATGTTTTGGAGTGGCTATCACAAAGCTCTGACCTCAATCCTATAGAAAATTTGTGGGCAGAGTTAAAAAAGTTTGTGCAAGCAAGACAGCCAAAAAATCTGATTAAGTTACACCAATTCTGTCAGGAGGAATGGGCCGAAATTCCTTCAAACTATTGTGAGAAGCTTGTGGAAGGATACCCAAAACATTTGACCAAAGTTATACAGTTTAAAAGCTAAGTTAAAAAAATACCAAGGAAAATGATGTAAACTTTTGACTGTCTAGAACTTAATAAAAAATATTCTCAAAAAAAAAAAAAAAAAAAATCTCACATTATTCTGGCATTTAGCAAAATTTAAAATCATTTAAGTAATCCTAACGGACCTAAAATAGTAAACGTTTAGTATGACTTACCACCAGACATTTTTAATAAATGGTTATGCTCCTTTTTTAGAGTGTATGTGAACTTCTGGTTTCAACTATATACCAATAACTACACTCACCACCCACTTTATTAGTTACACCTTACTACTACCGGGTTGGACCCTCTTAGTCCTTTGCGGGATAGATTCAACAAGGTACTAGAAATATTTCTTAGAGATTATGGTCCATATTGACATGATAGCATCACGCAGCTGCTGCAGATTTGTCGGCTGCACATCCATGATGTCAGTATCCCGTTCCACCACATACCAAAGTTGCTCTATTGGATTGAGATATGGTGAGTGTGAAAGCCTGTTGAGAACAGGGAACTCATTGTCATGTTCAAGAAACCAGTTTGAAATGATTAACACTTTATGACAGGACACGTTATACTGCTGAAAGTAGCCATCAGAAGATGGATACACTGTGGTCATAAAAAGATGAACATGGTCAGCAACAGTACTCTGGTAGGTTGTCACCTCGAACCACTCCGTCCATTCTCCTCTGACAAATAGATGTAAGTGAAAATCCCAATATATCAGCAGTTTTTGAAATATTCAGGCCAACCTGTCTGGCAACAACAGCTATGCCACATTCAAAGTCACTTAAATCATCTTTATTTCCCATTCTGATGCTCAGTTTCAACTGCAGCAGATCATCTTGACCAAGTCTACATATCTAAATGCATTAAGTTGCTGCCATGTGATTGGCTGATAAGAAATGTGCATTTGTTATTAACAAATTTAAGTGGATTAATTAAGACAATCTTTCACAAAAATACAAGAATTGTGTTGTTTCGGATCATTTTAATAAAGTAGTTTGAACAAACAGCAAACATCATTTTATTAAGTGTATTGACTTGTGTCGAAAAAATAAAACGTAACTGTTAAGTAAATGAGGAAAGAGTTTTTTTGTTTTTTTTTAACTTAACTACAAGTTTATCCAAAAAATAAAAAATAAATAAAATTGTAATTTACTTTATTTTTTAACATTTTTATTTAACATTTTAAGTTTTTGAGTTTTTTCACAAACATTTCATTTTTTTTTTTAATCTGAAACCACAGTTCCATCAAAAAGTAATCCATTAGTTTATGCTGAATGTTTCCTATACTCTATAATTCTATGACTCTATAACAAAAAACAACTAAAGAAGAGTTTACAATCTGACTAAATGTATCACTCTTTATGGCTATGATTTACTAAAAGAACCAAACCCAATAATCATTTGGTCAGGAATCACACTACAACAATATGCCAGGAATTAGACTACACAGCAGCACTTCTTGGGGGTAAAATTAATTCAGAATACCTCAGCAACATTTGTAATTACATGTTGCATATTTTCCTCACAATAACAAAATAAACATGACTACAATTAAAGCCTCTTATTATATTGATATGGATGTTTGCACAATCTCTGCAATTTGGCATTGGCAGTCAAGTAGTAAAGCCATGTGTAGTTATAGAGAACAATAAACAATACACTGCTTCATTTAAAGCAAGAAGCTTTACTGTGTACATTTTAAAAAAGCAGTGTCCGTGGTGATTTTATTTAGAATTGGTCTCTACAGTGAAGATTGCATTACTACATGTCAATGGTGGTATGAAGTTTAAAATTAGCCAAAGCAAACAAACAAATTTGTGTGAAATAAAGTCATGCTAGTTTGTTCTTGGATTTCGTTATAAGAATGGTACATGTCTATTTATGAATCTGAACTAAAGTTATGCAGTGTGATTTTGTTTTACTGAAATGATCTTGTTTATTCATTCAGCAATCAGACTATGCAGGTCACTCACTATACATGTTTTTGCTCATCTAAAGGCAACCATTCAAATTAAGAGTGGTTTACGTGTGAGTCAGACTGCATTGGTCCTGGTGTATGGTTTTCATTCACTGAAAGGACCCGTGAGCACTTTCATAAACACAAATCTGAAAAAGTGAACAACTAATTGTCAAGTTACACAGCTGCTTATGTATACAAGTGACACATTATTTTCTTTCTCTTCTTTCCTTTTAGTCTATTCCAAAACTCTAACTTCAAAAAGCACATGGGGTTCCTAAAGTCTTCCACTGCTTCTTGCTTTCACTTTCCATATTATGTGCCATCTCTGCTTTGACCTCATTGTGTGTGTGTGTGTGTGTGTGTGTGTGAGTGTGTGTGAGACAGAGAGAGAAAGCACTTTGTGTCACTCTGCATCCACTCAGCACTCCTCTCTACACTTTGTCAAACACCCCGAGCCCTGTAAGCGAAGCGTTGTTTGATGCATTGTGCAGCTCCTTTCACTTGCTTTGCCAATCAAAAGCCAGAGAGTGAAGAACACACAGCCAGTGTTGGGTGTGTGTGTGTGTGTGTGTGTGTGTGTGTGTGTGTGTGTGTGTGTGTGTGTGTGTGTGTGTGTGTGTGTGTGTGTGTGTGTGTGTGTGTGAGAGAGAGATCCTCACATTTAAGTGCAAGGGGGCTTTTAGAGACAGGTTTCACCGTTAGGCTGAGCAAAGAGACAGTAAATATAAAAGGCAAAGGGGAGAAAACTGGGCATATGTCTCTTTTTTTAATCTCTTCCATCTGTAAGCATAGAAGACTGTGACGTTCTAGAAGAAACAGATACAAAAGCTTTCTTTGTGCACCCGTCAACTTTTAAGTGAACCGTCTTTGACAGTGAAAAGAGCGAATGTGAGATAGAAACCTCAAATTAACTTCTACCACTACTTTGTGCATCGTCTTCAATCTATAAAGCGTTCTCTAGCCTTCATAGAAGCAATTGTGGTACCTTCGGGTTCAAATGTAGGACGTGAGATATTAATACTAACAAATTTCAAATTATTACAAAGTTATAGGTTAAGTTATGGGGTAAAAGGTGATACTTCTTTGTCACCAGTAGTTTTTCTTTTAAAGGATCAAATGTGACAATGTTTTGCTGAAAAAAAAGGTGAGCTTTGAGTGGGAATAATAATAATTTGAGTTGCAATAACATTTTGTGTCACTAAAACAGTTATCATTTTGTTAACTCTTAAACTAGCCGAAAGTAATATTGGGCCCTGTCCATGCAAACACTGATATTTTTAAAGCTGCAGGGTTTTTTTACGCAGTTTTTATTGAAATGTTTCATGCAATGATGGTTAATGGCAACCAAAACTTAAAAATATTTTATTTTGTGTTCCACAGGGGGAAAAAGTCACACAGACTTGAAACACTGTAAGAGTATGAGTATGTTTTTGGCTGATCCATCACTTTATTCAGTTTTCTTTCTTTATTCAGCAAGGTTATTAAAGAAAGATTCACTGCTGAAAAACCTGCCATATTGGATTCTATCCTCTTAGACTAAACCTCCAAAAAAACTGAACCTGGCAACAGTAACTTGGCATCATTTATAGTGTCACTACCAGCTTATTTGCAAATACTGTCATATTTCACACATGCCGGAAAGTCTTGGTCAGCAATCTCAACGGTTTAGTGAAGATGTGATACCTGCTCACACATGTGTGCTCTCGGTCTGATTTGTGTAAGTATGATATTCATTCATTTACTTTTTGTGATTACTCACAGTCATGCAACGTTACACATGCATTCATAGTTAAAGAGTCTTACATGTGCACAGTGTGGTTACTCACCAGGTGTGTGTGTGGACCTGATAGCGGTATAAATGATCCACTAGGCCGTGTTTGCTGGCAGGAAGAGCTTTGTATCCTCCATGGACGTATATGGAATGTGAGGAGCTGTCATAAACGCTGCTGTGGCCATATCCTCCTTGCACCAGCGCCCCATTCGTCTCTGCCACCGACCAGGAGTTAGTGCCTGACAAAGAGTTAGACTTTACTCTCAGATTCCAATATGTGTAATGAATGAATGAATGAATGAATGAATGAATAATTGCTGAAATCCATTAAACATTTTTTCAGGATTAGAGATTTGAAATAAAGATATTTTATTATATACATATAATAAATAGTATAATATATATAACCACTTACAACCAATAGAATTGTAGAATTAATCCAGAAAATAGAATAAACGAACGAATTAATGAACAAATGTACTACAAAAAAATACAGTGGTGTGGATGCATGTTTGTCACACTTTATTGTTTCAGAGAACGGTATTTAAGCATGAACCGCATTTGTAAGGTCATGTTACAGCATCTCAAATGGATACGGTTCAGGACTTTGACTAGGCCATACCAAAGTCTTTATTTTAAATAACATTATTACAACATTCAGAAGTGGACATGCTGGTGTGCTTTGGATCATTGTCCAGCTGCAAAACCCAATTTCGCTTTAGCTTGAGGTAACAGATGGCCAGACGTTCTCCTTCAAGATATTTTGGTACGCAGCTAAATTCATGGTTCCAATTATGACAGTCTTAAGTCTTCAAGGTGTTGAAGCAGCAAAAGTCCCACGTCATCACAATACAACCACACACAGTTGGAATGATGTAATTTTTCTGAAATGTGATATAACATTTATGCCACACAAAATGGGACACACAACTACAAAATGTAAAATTTTTGTCTTAACGGTCCACTGTATTTTTCCAAAAGTCTTAGAAAACATCAAAATGCTTTCAGGCAAAACTGAGATGTCTATTTTGTTTCCCCCTTTATTAAAACCTTCATTTTAAAACTGCATGATGTGTTTACTTGTTTCCTTTAACTAATATTTAAATTTCATTGAGGGGCAAACAATTTTTCACAACATTGGAATCTTAATTATATTTAATCATAAATTGTGCTACTTCAAAAGTAAGAACCACGATAATAGAAAATTTATGTTTTTCTTTATGTATTTTATTATCTTTCACGTATTTATTGTATTTTATGTATTTATTGTCAACGTTGCTAATAGTATATTGTTTTGTGTTTGGAGTATGTCTGTATTGTGCACTGTCTGGAGGCAGCACCTAAGCTTTTTACTCGTCATAATACATGTGCTGCTTTTAATGTGCTTTGTGATTTTGATTTGCGATTAGAGAGTGGTGGGATCATTGGGTAGGATTAACAAATGGAAGAACTCGTGGAAGAACTCATGGAAGACCTCATGTCAGCAACCACAGAGATAATGTGAGCATTGGTGGTTCAGTGGTAGAATTCTCGCCTGCCACGCGGGAGGCCCGGGTTCGATTCCCGGCCAATGCAGCAGTGTTTTGCTTATTTTGTATGTGTATATAATTGATTTAATATATATAAAACATTAACTAAAGTAATACATTTAGGCAGAAATTGTTTTGGCAGTCTGGCTACATCAAACATGCTGAGATCAGTCTGACTAAGACAGCGGTTAGTTGCTCTTTGGTGGAACATCTGCCATGAATTACACGACTCTACAGCTATACAAAAACAATGAATTCAAAGGTTAAGCAGCGTGACTTTCACAGTTTCTCTGCCTTGTTACATCACAGCTTTTTTCACAAAAAATTCTCTTCAAACATTGCATCACTCTAATTTCCTCAAGTTCTTTGTGTCATCAAGTTCACAGGAATGCAGTGTAGTGCAATTGCCATCATTCTCACCAACTCTAATAAGCTCACATATTCATTTAGAGAGTAAGAACAGAAGAAAGCGAGAGCATCAGAAAGAAAGATTTAAGTGGAGTCTCAACAGAGCTCAGACACATTAATCATTGTTCAATTCCAGACAGTGCAGTTCAGGTACCACCACTTCTTAATGACCTGAAGCATGAGTGTGAGTTTGAGTGGGTGTGTTTTCGTGACAGAGAGTGGAGCGAGTCGACTAGAAAATACCGATGAAAGAAAAGAAAAGCGGAAACCTTCACTTTAATGAGTCTGGCCATGTCAACACACCATGTCATGGCTAAATGCTGCGCTAGCATCATGTTATAACACACTGCCATCTGCTGGAAGACAGAGGTTCTGTCAGCTTTTGTCATCAGTATAACTACATTTTACAGTGGTTTTGATTCTTGGTTAGTTTGGTCAAGAACAAATAAGAAGATGATATGTTTACTTCTGCTTCCCTTAGCGAATGCAATGTTCAATCTGGTCAGTGATGGCATCTTATCAGTCGGAATCTCATTAGGATTAAGCAATATGTAGAAGTTTGATCTGTACTACAGATTTGTGCCTTATCATTGTTGTATTTTTGACATAAATTCCTGTTTTGGGTTTGTTTAATTGGGATTCTGATGGTGGTGTAATGGTGGTGCAGTGGGTCGCACAATCGCCTCACTGCAAGAAGGTTGCTGGTTTGAGTCTCGGCTGGGCCAAGTGGCATTTTCTGTGAGGAGATTGCATGTTCTCCCTGTGTTCGCGTAGGTTTCCTCTGGGTGCTCTGGTTTCTCCCACAAGTCCAAACACATGCGATATAGGTAAATTGGGTAAGCTAAATTTCCATAGTGAATGAGGGTTTATGGCTGTTTCCCAGTGATGAGTTGCTGCTGAAAGGGCATCCGCTGCGTAAAACCTATGCTGGATAAGTAGGCGGTACATGGGCGACCCAAGAATAATATAGGGGCTAAGCTGAAAATAAAATAAAGGAATGTACTGATGGCAGCATATTTACTTATTCAATTTAACCACATTCAATTTACAAACAGCTGCTACAAGACTCAGAAAATATGCACTACAAATCACGTATGTAAACATCATGTACACTTAAAGTCAGAACTATTAACCCTGTTTATTTTTCCCCAAATTTAACAGAGAGAAGATTTTTTTACACATTTCTAAACATAATAGTCTTAATAACTCATTTCTAATAACTGATTTATTTTATCTTTGCCCTGATGACAATAAATATTATTTTACTATATATTTTTCAAGACACTTCTATTCAGCTTAAAGTGATATTTAAAGGCTTAACTAGGTTAATTTGGTTGATTAACTAGGCAGATTAGGGTAATTAGGCAAGTTATTGTATAACAATGGTTTGTTCTTTACACTATCGAAAAAAAATCTAGCTTAAAGAGGCTAATAATAACATAAACATATTATTTAGTAGTACTTACGAATCTTGTACTCCTGGACGTGGCTGAGATAGCTGTAAATAGGTGAATAGCCAAAAAGCACCACCATAATGGGCTCTCCATTTTTATTATCCACTATATGAGCAGTATGTCCCTCAACGGCGAACTGTTGAGCCTGAAGGCCAGGACTGGGTGTCCTGAGGGACCAAGTTCGACTATGTGTATCAAACAGCCACAGCTCATCTGTTACATTCCCAAAACCTGCCTCCAGCTTCCCACCAAACATGTAGATGACATCCTGCAAAATGAAGAGAAATTAACACACTGTAAGTCCTTGTGCAAGCGTATGAAGCATTGCATCACCTCAGGCAGAGCAAATGTTGGACACCAATTTTCAAGCATCACAGGAGCACACATTCCCCAGCATAAACAGCCAATCAATACAATGCATCTATATAGAAATCAGTGGAGAAATGATTCAGGCCTAGTGACACTGCTTCACCTCTTTCACTAATAAAAATATGACTCCAGCTGGAGCATACAAGAAAACAAATTTTTACTATTATCTTCTTGAGATGGATATGAGCTGATACTGAATCAAAGAGAAAAGCAAGTAAAGTAAATCCTACAAAAATTGTAAGTGCTGTGTTATTCATTGGTGAATAATTAAATTGCTTAATAAAATGTTTGAGGGCGATATGTGCATGATTTCTGAAAGATCATGTGACAATGAAGACCTGGCAGCTGGAAATTATGAAAACTTTTTTTCTGAACAAACATCAAGATTCAGTTGAAACAACAATTTGGAATCTTCAGTTAACCAAACTGGCATGTCTACAGGCTGTTAGAAGAAACTGGAGTGCCTGGAGTAATCCCATGCTGACAGAAATTTACAGCATGAGCATTGGTGGTTCAGTGGTAGAATTCTCGCCTGCCACGCGGGAGGCCCGGGTTCGATTCCCGGCCAATGCAACAAGAATTTTTAATATCTCACATCAACCAACAGAGATTTGAATAAACAAAATTGTATATAAGAGTAAAAAATGTGCCCCTATTAGGCATAGAACGATAATCATTTTCAAGGTATACCGCAGTTTGGAAAAATCAAGGTTTTAAAGTCATTAAAACCTTCTGTTATGCAGCTCCTAAGGTATATAAGAATTTTATTTTGTTGTTTTGTTGTTTTTAAGGACAACAGTATCTCCAACAGAAAAGATCTCCTAAGATGTTTTTAAAACTAATGAAGACAGCAGAAAACATCTTTTTACCACTAAATCCATTAATCTGAGATGTTTTGAAATGTATGTTTTAAAACTGGAAGAAACTTTTTACTGATGTCAAACATTTGAATAGTAGAGTATATTATTATATTGCATTGCCCTAATAAAAGACTTATATATGTATTTTTCCAGCATGACTTATGTTTGATGTTATCATTTAACGTAAATGCAAACATGGAAAAAGAACACAAATTCACGCAGGAAAGAAAAAGAAAGCACTATATACAAATATCAGAACAATAATATAATATAAAATTTTTCAAAATGCAAACATGGCTAATTAAGCCTCTGTGGCCAAACAAACGCTCTTTTTAATTTTTTTTATAACTGCTAATAAGCAAACATAAAACAACAACAAAAACATTTAATAACCCCTTTTAATAGATATAAAAGTATAAAAGAACAGAATGCAGGGAAAGAGAAAATAAGGAGAGAAAAAAGGAAACGAGATGATTAAAAAAAGAAACTGAGACAGCACAGGTAATGAAAGCAAGAAGTCTTAGAGTAGAGAAAATGTAGAAGTGTAAACAAGTGAAAATATGGGTTGAGAAAAACATGCAGGTAGAATTCTCGCCTGCCATGCGGGAGGCCTGGGTTCGAATCCCTGCCAATGCAAATTAGCTTTTTAACATCTCACTTTAAGCCCACAAAACTGAGAGAATTTTATTTATTTTTTTATTCTGACTGATGTTAGCCAATACTGACAGTGGGTATTACACTGACCTATAAAATGAAATTCCTCAAAGAAAAATACATAATTGCCGCTTGTGCCTAAAATTGTTTATTTTTTCATTTTATATGTTTAAAAAAGACATTTAATAATTCCTTTTTAAGGATTTGGTAGTTGTAAGATGTATGAATATAAAATAAAAATAAAACATTTAGAGTATAAAAATTATTTGCTACTGTAAATGTAAAATGTGTGTTGAAAATGTTATAATTATGATTTAGATTTAAAGAAATAAAGACACCATAATTATCAGACATAGCATTATAATATAACATTTATAAAACTGAAGAATGAAGTGCAGAAACACAAATGAGTGCCAGAAGTGTTTTAGTGGCCGAAAGTATATTGCATCAGTAGTGGTTTAGCACTACCATTGAGAACGAATTAGATCAGTTTAGGACTATTTAGCTAAACGCGGAAAGGGTTCAATACTGAGTAATGCAACATTGCTTTTTAACATCTGACATCAAGTGCACTAGTCTGAGAGACTACTTTCAAAAACATAATAAATGGCACTGAAAGCAAACATGTAGGTATAAATTATAAATCCACTCTAAAGATGGTTCTTTGAAGGTTATTTGCAGACATAAATAATTCTATTTTTTGTCCAAAATAACTATTTTATGCTTATTCTTCATGTCCCATCAATTTGTTGTTAAAATATGTAACAGACAAAGCAGTTTCAGCTCATTGCTGGTTTACTGGAGTACCAAAAAAGAACCAAAGAACCAATTTGGTAGTTTAGAACCATGTTTCCTAACGGTGTACTAACCCAAAAAAAAACAGTATGTACAGTGGACTTAACAACCGCCAATTTATTAACTATTTAGTGAAAAAAAAGGTATGTAAACATAATGTCAGAAAAAGAAACTTTTTTTAAAAATTATTTTTAGGTAGAAAATGTTTACTTGAAATTACACAGAAATGGCTACAGCCATAAAGTAAAACAAGCATTCGTTTTAACATCCCATGCACAAAATAAAAAAAAAGTTCAACTGGGGTTGTATTAAAA